AAAAATTTTACTTGGTAAACTAGAGTGAGAGCTTGAAATTTTTGTCGATCATGTCGCAATTGGATTAATAACGTGTTGCGCGAAAAATAAATTGAATTTAATAACGTGTTGCGAAAAACAAAGTAATTGGATTCAAATAAAAGAACTAGGAAGCGTGATTTTGCTGTTTTATAATAATTTATCAAAGAATTATTTCAGCTAAAATTATTTTCAAAAAAAGAAAGATTTTGTCTTGGGGCGAGAAAAAACAACTTTGTGAACTTAAAATGGAAGAAATCCACCATTCACATATCAGTTAATATAAAGAAAGAACTTGGCCAAAAATTCGGACTGCTATTTACAGCATTTTAAAAGATAAAGATAAATACTATTCCATCAATCCTAATGATGCCAACAGACAAAAATGATAAAGCTGCAAAATATCCTGATGGTTCAATCAAGCACTTTCAGGTAAAAGAGTAATTACAATCTGATATAATTCTTGTTAAATCAAAGAATTATTGATTGTGTAAGACCGACAGCTGAATCTGGCTGAGACAGAGGATGAATTATCAATTGTTAAACTACAAAAAAAGTATTAAAATCTTTAGAAATTGACTGTCCTTATATTCAAGATCCACCTGAAAATCTTACTTTTGGATTAATTCAATGAAAGCATTTAAAAAGCCACATATCTAGCCATACTGTTCTTTAGAAAAAATAAAGCAAGCACACCAGATAGTTGGATTACTAAATAATTACTTTATATTTATTTTTAATAAAGTTGTATCGCGGGGGTTTTTTGTCGATCTTTTGATATAATGAATCACACTATATAGATAGTTCTATCGAGCGCCGACTGTAATTATTAATCTCCTTTTTCGTAATTTTGGGTCACATAAATGCACATTTATCTACTATTATCAATAAAACTAAATTAAGCAAAATGAAGGAATTTTTTGGTTTAACAATGTTTGCAAAGGATCAGATAATTTCACAACATCGTTAGCAGAAGTAGCAATGTTTTGTTGAATATCAAAATCTGATAATAAAGCATCTTCTAGAGCTTTGATTTTTTCAAACAAATAATTCTTTCAATAAATTCTGGCTTTTCACTGTTAATATTCTTTCCCGCAAATAATAATTCAATTGGTGTCACGTGCAACCAATAAAACGTTTGTTTCCTTAAACGCACACGGGGGTGGCGCACTTAGGGGGTCTACTAATAATAATAATGTTTATGTTAGATTGATTCTGGCTTGTAATAAATAATCAAATGCAGTGCTTGGTACTTGAGAAATTAATTAAATTATTAAAATTAGTGACTATTAATTGCATTATTGTAATTAGAAAAAGACCAAAGTTGATTGAAGAATTAAATATTTTATCTTTTTATTTCAATCTTCTAATTTTAATAACACTGCTATGCAAAGTAATTTATATAACGTTTTAATCAATCTTTGCCTATCATTAGCAATATAACCATATTCTAAAAAATTTTACCCATGTAGAATTGATTTTGGAGCCAAGACTTGTTTCGCGGGGTCCAAGGCACTCTTTATTTTCTATCAATGATTTAATATGTTGATACAAGTTTTATAAATTGATACTAGTCGTTAGAAATAGAGATTGAAAAATAAAAACCAGTAAAAAGCATAGTAATTAATGCATTAAGTTACCTTGAATTGAACAAAATTTAACTGATAACAATAAAAATCGTGCTGTACCCGAATACTTGAATGCTAGTTCAAAAGCTACAAGAATATCTTTTATTGATTTTGCACCAGATAAGAGATTATAACAATAAGATATTGAACTTTGTATTGGTTGTCAAATAAATCATTCTCATTTAGCAGGCCAAATATTCAGATAATCTTAAAGAGGCAAGGTAATTTTTGAAGCCTTTTTTTTGCATTTGATAATTCCACAAATCATGGCTCTTATAAAAAAGATGCTCTTATTGCTAATAGGGTAAATTTAGGTCCATGTGAAAAACGAGAAATGCAACTTTGGACCTGACAAAAAAATCGCACAGCCTATTACTATGGTCTTTAAGGATGACCGCCAAAAGGAATATGAAGGAAGTGGTAGATTCTAGATTATGTAAATGTTGTAAGTAAAAATAGAATAGGTCGTTGTACTTGCATACTCCTATTATTATATATAGCCAGGTTTTGTTAATCAGAAGAGTGCAACGGAAGAAAAAATTTTAGAGGCAGGTCACTTGTGTATTTTCTACCCCAAGTTTCCATAAAAAAATTTTTTTAAATTGCGTGTTTGAGAAAAATTACCAAACTTGGTAATTTTCTCCAACTAGCCTAGCCAATCACGGTGTGGGTCAAACTTTGACTGGGTTTGGGTCCTGTCTGTTTCGTCAAATTCTTATGCAGGCCCTTAATAATTTCACATGATATAAATTTTTTTTAATTCATGGGGGAAGGAGATTAGAAAAAATTTTTTTTTAAAAAAAAAAGTGAAAGGATAAAATTAGTTTTCCTAGTCTTTCCTTTAATTTTCGTAAAAACCCCTTTTTCGAATTTATTTATTACGTGATAATAAAGAGAGCGGGCTAGGTAATATTTGAATTATAAAATATAAAATTAAATTTTGGAAGGACAAATACCTAAGACAGCTCAACCAACCCCTTCCCCACTTCAACTGTCTTTTTTTAAATAAATTCTACCTTTTCTTATTTACCTTTCTTTTATTTATTATTTTTTAACTTTAAAAAAAATTTTTTTTTAAATTAAAAATAATATCTATAACATAACACATATATATATTTTTTATTTCCTCAAGTGTCTGTTGAGTACCCTATATATACAAATCTTTCATATATAAATAAATATACATATATATTTATTTAACATAATAATAAATTATAAGCATGCAAACTATAAAGTGTGTAGTTGTGGGTGATGGTGCTGTTGGCAAGGTGTGTACATTTATATAGAATATTTGGATTATATTTATACCAGCAGTGCTATTTAGAAAGTATTTATTAAATGGTTAAGGAATACTTTTTTGTGTTGATCAAACAATTTAAATCGTTGAGTTGGATTTTAAGGAAACTTTATTTTACAATCAGATTGACCTTAAATAATTTTATACGAGGCAATTGGATTATACGGTGTTAATATAACTTGTAATAATTACTTCAACATAATTATAGTTTACAAAAAAAAAGGACTTTAAATTGGTGTAGATTAAAGAATTTAATGATTGATGAGAAACGATTAAATGAAATAAAATATTATTATTACTAAAGATTACAAATCGTATATTGATATTTATATTCTCTCTCTTCTTTTTCATTTGATTATTAGACTTGTCTATTAATCTCGTATACAACAAACAAGTTCCCTTCCGAGTATGTCCCTACAGTAAGTAATCTTTTTCAATCGATCAATCTGTTAATCTATTAATAAATCATTAATCAATTCATTATCTAAAAATTATTATTTTTACATTATATTAATCTCTAATGTTATTTATTATTAAAATATATTGTAGGTTTTTGACAATTATGCAGTGACAGTGATGATTGGAGATGAACCATACACATTGGGATTATTTGATACAGCTGGTTCGTAATGGTTATAATTTAAAAATTAAAAAAATGATTTTTTTTCTTGGAAAAAAAGTTATTAAAAAAAAAAAAAATTTAATAGAAATCATAATAATGATATTGATAACGATAATCTATATTTCTAATTAATATAATTAATATATATATGTGTGTGTGTGTGTGTATAATTTTATAGGTCAAGAGGATTATGATCGCCTTCGTCCACTTTCTTATCCTCAAACAGATGTTTTTCTTGTTTGTTTTTCTGTAACTTCGCCAGCTTCATTTGAAAATGTTAAAGAAAAATGGTTTCCGGAGGTTCATCATCATTGTCCAGGAGTTCCATGTTTAATTGTTGGTACTCAAGTAGATTTGCGTGATGACCCTGGAGTGGTTGAAAGATTATCAAGACAAAAGATGAGACCTGTAACTTCTGAACAAGGAGAAAGACTTGCCAGAGAATTAGGTGCTGTAAAATATGTCGAGTGCTCGGCTTTGACACAAAAGGGTTTGAAAAATGTTTTTGATGAAGCAATTGTTGCTGCTTTGGAGCCACCAGTAACTAAAAAATCACGTAAATGTTTGGTGCTGTAAAATTTTTGGAAAATTTTATTTTTATATATTTGTAGTTTTAATAATTATAATTATAATAATTATAATTATTTATATTTATATTTAAAAAAATATACAATATTATTTTATTATTTTTTATTTTATTTTATTTTAATTTGTTCCTTCCCTCACCCTTTCCTCATCCTTCCATCCTTCCATCCATCCTTCTTCCTATACGCAATAAATTCAAATTCATCATCTAATTTATTAATTAAAGTCAATATTATCATTGTTATTATTGTTGATTGAATTTTAAGTAAGATAATGGATGAATGATTTGAGTAGAGAAGCTTTAGATTTAGGCAAAAAAAAAAATTTTTTTTAATTTGCTCTTTAATTTATAATTAATATTTGATTTACTTTATTTTTTTTTTTTTAATACACATTTTTTTTGATTAATTCTCGTAGAAATTATCTTTAATTATTAATAATGGATTTTTTTTCTATATAAATTAAATTCATTAAAATTGTATTTTTTATAAGATATACTTTTATATAATAATAATTATGCACTAACATCACAAGAAAATCATAACTGATAATAATAATGACAATGGATTAAAAAAAACTTTTTTCATTCTTTTGCCTGAAGATATTAAAAACCTTCCTTGGCCTTGAATTTTCTGGGAGAAATTCTGGGTCCTGTTTCAGGACGAGAAGAGCTAACTTTTTTAAAATATTAATTATGTGAGCTGTCACTATTGATGATGATGCATATTATAAAACAAATAATATCTATCTATCTAATAAATTACTTCTAATTTGTATATATATTTTATTTAAAAACTGTTATATATATTTTACAACAATGATTAATAATAATATTTTTAAAAAACCCCATTTATAACTTTATTTTTAGCAATGGATATGTTCTTTTTTTGATCGGAAGATCCCAACAATATGGTCCAAAATCTGATCCAAATTTATATTGTAGAAATTTCCTAACACCAAGATCAGGATCAGTTTCAATAAGTTGATTAATATATGACATTACCTCTGGTTTCTTGTGAAGTTCTAAATCAATGATTGCTTTTAGCGCTGTTATTCGAACATTTATATAATTATCATATCTATTAATCAATTGAATCATTTAATATTTATCGATATTGTAAAATAAAATATTTTTTAAAAAAACCCAATTTACATTGTATAAACCAAAAGTTCTTTTCCATCAACATTGATCACTTGGCTCATCATCAATCTTGCTTTTGCCTATATAATCAATATATTAATATATTATTAACATATTATTCAAATAAAAAAAAACCAATGAAATGTTAACAAAAAAACCTACCATTATAATTGATGATAGTATAACTGAGTGATACGAATTGAATAAATCATTACGAAATTTGTATCTATTAAGAATTTCCAACGTTTCTTTTAAATAAGCATTAGAATCACCTGCTAAATCGAAAATTTCAACACCTTGATCAGACTCTTCTTCAAATTGCACGAATGAATATCCTAGTGATTCTATATACGCTGCCACAAGATAATCATCGGCATACTGTATGCAAATACCAAAATTAATTAATACATACAAGTATACATTAAACAAAAATAAAATCAAATAAAAACCGGATTCTCTGAATTATCGTTCCAATTTAACATATCAACTAAAGTTTCTTTTACATCAACTGGAGTAACACCACCTGTTTGTCTTATATTTGAAAGAGCAATTGGAATCGACTTTTAAAGATATTTATATATAAACTTTGGTGAGAAATTGTGTATGCATATGTATACACTACTTTGAACAACAATTAATTCCAAAGTAATATCACACCTTCTGGACAAAATACTCCTCCCAATCCGAAAAATTATTCGTTTTCGGTATGATTTGATCATCCACGCGTTCACAATAATCATATTCGTAAGTTTTCAGTAATTGATGTAAACCTATATAATTAAGTTCATTTGTTGCGCACTAAAACAATTGATGAATGAAATTAAAATATTTTATTATCGATTTCAATACAAACTATACACAATAAATACAAACTTTTGCCATTGCCATTGCGGCACTCGTACGACATCTGTAATGATACCTCCAATCTCGTAATGTTCTTAATAACGTTGTAGAGCATGCAGCCGAAGGACTTTTTTCCAATGCTTTAATAGCCTATATATATATATATATGATATGATATGATAAATTAAAAAATATGTATGTATGTGAGATGAGCTCAATAGAAAGGAGTTGTCAAATCGGATCGAAAAAATCGACAAAAAATATCTGTGTTTGAAGGAAATTACTAGTGTTATTATAAACTTTAAAAGAAAATATCACAGATACGACATTAACTCGAAATCGATAAAATGACAAACTACCCTTTCTATTGAACTCGCTCCGTATCTGTATATTTATTTATATTTTAAGTAAAGATGATTACTTCGTATTGTGCTGCAACAGAGCCTTCTGATTCTAGTTGAGAAGCCCACATGTAATCGGGCTGTTCAAAATCGAATTTGCCAATCCAACTAAAAGCACGATCAATAAGTATCCAATCCCAATGATCACTACATTGAAAAAAAAAAGATTCGATTTCGAAAAAAAATTATTTTTTAAAAAAATAACCCCCCAGAATATATATATATATATAATCGATACCTAGTGCTCTGTTGACGAGACGGATCAGCCCATTCAATAATTTTCCATTCATCTCTTTCATTAAATTCTGGATCCATTCCCCAAAGAACAGGATAAATTCTAGATTGTTCTTCTATTAATTCGAGCGGAACATAGGAATCAAATGTTCCTCTTTTCCTTACAAATCTAGGTTTAAGAGTTATCTTGGACCGTTTATATTTGGTATGATATGGAAGTGAAAATGTTTCAGTCTTCTCTCGAATATAGATAGTATGAATATATTCTACACCATCGGGTTCATTAATAGCAATATCCATCTGTCCCTATTTAAAAATTTTCAATCATATTTAATACTCTATATTAAACAAATATTAAGATCATCTATGGATTATATATAATAGTCATACAGTGAATAAGGAAGTATGCTTTTTGTGATCATCGGCATGTGTAGTTGTTAATTTTTTATCATTTGATTTTTTCTTTTCCAAATCAGAATGAACTAAATTCGAATTTTGTTGTACAAATTTAAATTCAACCGTCATCTTTTTCCTGTTGAAATTAGCATTGATTTTAAAAATAGGACAACCAGACCCGTATATCCATTGTTTTTTAAATTGTTTGATTTCATCACGGAGTTCTTGGCGAATAACATCTTTACACAAATTGAAAAATTCTTTGGTTTCCAGATAACCAGGTCTAAAGTTATGGTAGGATGTTTCCTTAGCACGGTTCAATATCAAATAAATAATTCCAAGTATTCCACGATGATAATCAAAAAATGGCAATCTATTGTTAAGCATCCAAAGAACAAGTGGAGCTTTTAAATTTAGAAACTCCAGTTCTCTTGTTTCAATTGGTGTCTCATAACCATATGAACATAATGGTGGTTGGTTTACATCAAGATTGCATAATTTATCGATATCCTAAATATGTATGTATATATGTATAAATTTAATAATATTCAGGTTATTTTTTTAATTAATAATTATAATTTTAACTTACAAGTTTGCGTGATAATTGAATTTCTTGTTCGCCAAATATTTTTTCAAGATACATGGTTGTAAAATAATTTGATAAACCGATTGCAAGCCAAAAGTCACGCCTAAAAGGCAAAAAATTATGACAAAAAAATTAATAATTAAATTAATATTTTTTTAAAATGACAATTTTACAAAAAAAATTTTTTACCATGAATGAGGAGGAATAAAAATTCCAAACCATTGCTGAGCTATTGCATTTATTAAAAGACGCCTCGTGACAAATACTTGTTCTATTATATGCTCATTATATAATAAACTTGTACTATATATTGATGTTATGATTGAAATAACTATTACTATTGACGGTTGAATTCTATTCAAAAAAGCATTAGATGTATAAATATACATACCGACATATTACCATCCCAGCACATACTGTAATATCATTATAAGCATTTTCAACAAATACTATATGAAAACAATTGAATGGAAATTTTCCAGGTTTAACTTTTGGGTTTCGTTTGTCAAACTCGGGATGGATCTTAAAGTGAGAATACCCTTCGATAAAATAATCAAATGCCTTAAAATAGGCAACTTTTGGTAAGTAGAAATAAATTAACGAGGTAAAAGTTTTTTTTATTGATGTGGATATATGTGTGATTTGTATGTATACCCAATGTATCCAAAAAGTATCAGCACCCTCCTGATTAGGATAAAGTGTCGGTCTAATCCATTCTTCCCATCTTGAAGAGAAATAAGCAGTAATAAGTGGTCTATTTTCTGGTAGATCGTCTTCACCTGGATAATGTAAAATGTAAGGAGAACGAAAAGGTCCACAAACTAATCCAATATGTTGAGCTTGAATTGGCACAGGCAGCCTATAATGAAACAATCTCTTATTATGGTGATTATTAGGTGATTCAATCTATACAAATTTATGAATACATGTGTGTGTGTATATATGGCAAGGATATTAATATTAAATAATAATAAACTTTTTGGATAATAATAAATATATTCCTTACAATCTCTAATAAATTTCCGCTGGTAACTACCATCATTCTATCGAAATTTTCAATATCTGATACGGTGATGAAAAAATCCCAAGTACATTTATCCTGATAACGATCAAGACAAGGAAGCCAACATCTCGTTGCACCAGGAATTGGTCTATGTATTGTATAAACAAATGGTTCATCCTGCCAATTGACAATATTTTTTTATATAATTAATTTGATTAGAGTAGAATTTTATTTTATTCAAGAATGATTGAATTATACTTGCATTTGGTTCATAAAATTCATTAGGTTTATTTGGAATATTTGAATCTGGTTGTTTGAAATAAATACCAGATTTGGGTTTTTCTAGTGTAAAATCAACATTTACAATTATAGGAATCCATTCACCGTCCTAAAAAAAAATTAAACATCATTAATTCACATATAACATATTTAGTATTATACACACACACACACACACACACACACTACATATTTTACCTCATCTAATATGGGAATATTCAACATTTCATCTGGAATTTGAATAATAATTTCACCTTCAACACCAGAATCTATTTTTTTATTTATCTCATATAATGCCTTGACTCCATTTAATTTGATTTCATTTATTACTATTGTTGATTTGTTTTTTTGGAATTTTAATTAAGGTATTATTATGACTATCAAAGTTTATTATGATAAATACACTTTACCACATTGACGACAATTAAGTTTTATCTCATGGATATCAAATCGAATTGGTTTAAGATGAATTTCAGTATAACCCTAAATAACCACAATTTAATTATTCAAGTCGTTTAATTCTTCTTCTTTAATTCATATTGTATATGAACTATGCAAATAAATTAAATTACCTTTATAAACTGGTCAACTATATCTAACTCAATATTTACTTTTTGATGCTTGATAAAGTTAATTCAATAATTAATTGATTGAGATGACTGTTTATTTCTAATCAGAAAGCCCCATTATAATAAAACTTACATAGTAAACGTAGCCTCTCTCGATAGTATCTTTTTCTAAGTATTTCTTTAATGTTTCAAGATGTTTTGAAGTAATAATAGGCCCCGAGTTAGTCATTATTATTTTTCAGTCAAAGAATTATTTTGATTTTTCTATTAATGTTATTGTCATGTGATCATTGCGGATATTTGTACTACAATGGAGTAATAAATATAAATATAAAAAACTAAATTTATTTTTTAACAAGTAAAAATGTCTTATTTTCTTCCACATTTAACAAATGGTAGATTTACTTAATTTTTTTATTTGATGTGTAATATGTGTATAGTTTGTTTAATTTAATGATTTGATAAATTTTAGGATGGCAAGTGGATCAAGCAATTTTATCTGAAGAAGATAGAGTTGTGGTTATTCGCTTTGGACATGATTGGGTAAATAGTCAATAATTATGAAACATTAATCTTTACTATCGAATATTAATATTAACAATACTTCTTTGACATTAGGATCCTACTTGTATGAAAATGGATGAAACTTTGTATGGCATTGCTGAAAAAGTGAAGAATTTTGCAGTGATATACTTGGTAAATAAATTATTTTATATTTATTTGCAAGATGATTGGAAGTTTTTAATAAATAATATTTTTTGGTAGGTTGATATCACAGAAGTTCCTGATTTTAATAAGGTATAGCTATAGGACTTAGATAATACATATATGTACATAAATATGTTTATATACTAATTATTTCAAAATTTCAATCTTTAGATGTACGAACTTTACGATCCGTGCACAGTTATGTTTTTCTTTCGAAATAAACATATAATGATTGATTTAGGAACTGGTAATAATAACAAGATTAATTGGGTCAGTAAATAATAAATATTATTATTATGTTTGTTAAAAGATTTGGTTGATGATGTTTTACCTAAATGTAATTTATATGATTAGGCATTGGAGGATAAACAAGAACTTATAGATATAATAGAAACAGTGTATCGTGGTGCAAGGAAAGGTCGAGGATTAGTAGTATCGCCAAAAGATTACTCAACGAAATATAAATACTAAGAAGAAATTTTTTTTCATATTCCCTTCAATCTGTAATTCTTAAAATATAGAATAAAATTATCTTTATATACAAAAAATATAGAAAGGCTTATTGTGCGCTTAAAAATGCGCTCCCAAGATTATCATTGTGCATTAAATTTTTTAACCTTGAAAGAGCTTGCTGCACTATAAAAATTCTATTTAAGTTTCATGTATTACAAATGGGGGTTTACTTGATTTAGTATTCAATGTATATATTGTTGGGAAAATGCGAAAAAATTTTAATCTATAATAAAGAACAAGAATTTGTTGTAAATGTGGCAAATAAAATTATATATACATATAATTTATTAATAAATAATATTAATGTTTGTCAAACAAAAAGAAATTTATTGATTGTTTTTTAATATAAAATAAACTCTTTATTAAGTCAGCTGATCTTAAATATACATAATATATTGTGTGTATTTGTAATATATATATATATATATATCGATGACTCATATATATTACCCCAAATAGTTGAGTGGATTATCCCCCAAAAATTTTCTATATTATATATATCAACTCTCTTAACAGCTAATAGTACCAAAACCCCAAAAATTTTCATAATAATCATATTATTATTATTAATACCCCTTTAAAAACACCTTCCTTTGAAGTTTTTCAACTTTTTTAATAATAATAGTAAATAATACTAATATATGTATTTAATTTTTTTTATATATTTTTCTTAAAAATTAAAAATTAAAAAAAAAATTAGACATTTTTCAGATAGTTGTTTAGTCATCTAATAATACAATATTAATATATAAAGAGAGAAAAGAGAGAAGTCAGTGTTGTTGACCTACCCAAAATTCCTTTCAATTTTTCCAGCTGGTAGAAAAAACTTTATTTAACAAGTTCATCATTACTTGGATTCATTTAGAATTTAGAATAAAAAAATTTATTTAATAAAGGTAATAATTTTTATTGATATTTTATAGATAATAACAAATATTAAATTTAAAATTATATATTTTTAAACTATTATTTTCCAACATCATCTAACTCTTTAAAAAAAATTTTTCTATTAATAAAAGAAATAAATATATATATATTTGCAAATATGGCTATGGATTTAAGGGTAGGTAATAAATATCGTATAGGAAGAAAGATCGGTTCAGGTTCTTTTGGTGAAATTTATCTTGGTATGTATAGATTTAAAATGTTCGATGTTTATTGTTATTGTTATTTCAACATTTAAAGAATTTAGATTTAGTATTATTTTTTTCCACTATAATTATCGTTATCGTCGTTACAATCATACATATCGTTTTGTTATTAATTAGGAACAAATATTATTAATGGCGAAGAAGTTGCTATAAAACTTGAATCTACAAAGGCTAAACATCCACAATTAGAATATGAAGCAAAAGTTTATAAAACTCTTGCTGGTGGTGTGGGCATTCCATTTGTCCGCTGGTACGGTACTGAATGCGATTATAATGCTATGGTGATTGATTTATTGGGTCCATCATTAGAGGATTTGTTCAATTTTTGTAATCGCAAATTTTCATTAAAGACTGTACTATTATTAGCCGATCAATTGGTATGTTAATTAATTATTTGCATATATACACATTTACACACATATAATTAATGTGTTTTTATTTTTAAAAATGATTTAGATTTCTCGAATTGAATATATACATTCAAAAAATTTCATTCATAGAGATATTAAGCCTGATAATTTCTTAATGGGAATTGGTAAACGTGGTAATCAAGTTAATGTGATCGATTTTGGCTTGGCCAAAAAATATCGCGATCCAAAAACACATTTACACATTCCTTATAGAGAAAATAAGAATTTAACAGGCACAGCTAGATATGCAAGTATTAACACTCATTTAGGAGTTGGTATGTTTTAATATTTTTATTTTATTTTTAAATACGTGTTTATGCTTGAAAATATTTATTTTTTTTAAATTTCCTTAAAGAACAATCTCGTCGTGACGATCTTGAGTCACTGGGTTATGTAATGATGTATTTTTGTCGCGGATCACTTCCATGGCAAGGTCTTAAAGCCGCAACAAAAAAACAAAAATATGATCGTATTATGGAAAAGAAAATGACCACTCCCACAGAACTTCTTTGTCGCACATTCCCTAATGAATTTGCTATCTATTTGAATTATACAAGATCTCTTAGATTTGATGATAAACCAGATTATAGCTATCTAAGAAAATTGTTCCGAGATTTGTTTGTTCGTGAAGGATTTCAATACGATTATGTATTCGATTGGACAATTTTCAAATATGTATGTATTTTACTCTAATTTTTTTAAAAAAACCGTTATAATTCAAATATTTATAGTAATCATCCAAAAAATTATTTTTTTTAAAAAAAACAATAAATAAATAATAACAATAGGAAAAAGAAGCTAACAAAGTTCATCCACCTTTACAAATGCCAGAAGATGCAAATAATGCTGGTGAAGCTGTTGATGAAGATATCAAGAATCAAAAACGTGCTGTTAATAATAGACAGGCAGTCACTGCCTCAAATTTTGCTAACGATCCTTCAACACCTCGCCGTCCAACAAATAAACCAATTTATGGAACTGGTATCAGTTCTACAAGAGCTGCTACATCTACCACACCACAACCCATTGCAAGTGGCTCATCACGGTTAACATCAGTTCCTAGGCGTAATAAAGATAGTGCTGCACCCGTTACAGATAATAATAATAGAGTTGTAACTTCAGATAGACTGTAAGTTATTTACGTATTGTATATTTATATTTAAATCTACTTTTTATGCTTTATTTTTTTTTTTAATTAATATAATAATAATTTTTTAGACTTCGTAGTCAAACTAAAAATAATCCAGCGGCAGTAAATTATTTAAGTTCGTATAAAGGTGGTAGAAAAGATGATCCAACTGGTGGAAACGGACAATGGTATTAAAAAAGTAAGCGTAAAGTAAGCATTAGGCGATAAAAATCAAACACTTTTACGAGTAATAATAATAATAATAGTTATGGTTTGTCTTTAGATGTAGACGACACCAATCCCAATGCAGATCAACATTTAATCAAACAAAAACCACCCAACAAAAAAATTTAATAATAATAATTAATAAAAATAACATTTAATGTAATTTTTTACACACACACATACACACATATATATATATAAATATAATTATAAATATAAATACATAATATAAATTATGCTATGAACAATAATATCAATTTTCCCCTTATCTGTTTTTCTTTTTTTCTTTTTTTTTTCCAGTAGATAAATTATTTGAAGGTGTAATACATTACGTTACAATACCTTCTCCCTCTCTCTTTTTATTATTATTATTATTTTTCTCACTCCTTTCAATACTTTTTTTTTAATATGTATGTTTGTTATAACCAAAAAAAAAAGTATATTTTCATTTTATTAATATAAGCTATAGAATATTTGTTGTTTTTTATCTATGTTGGTTTTACGTGAAGTGTCTGAAAAATTATTTTTTTGCACATGTAAAATGACATCGTTGCGCACAATAAAGCTTTACTTTTATTAAAATCAAATTTTTACTTCTAAAGAATCACCATCAATGAATGATGCCATATGATAAGTTTGTTGATACAACAAATTATATTCATTCATTAATATTAATTAGAGTTTATTAAATTATTCAGATTTTTTTTGTAGATCGTAACATTATCATTGAAGACCGACTACGTAAATAAATATATTAATAGTGTTACGGATTATCTCAGAAATCTTTTGGGAGTAGCATGTAGAAGAAGTGTTAAGTATGAGATTAATGTTAATGTAGTGATGAAACGAAAAATTGATTTAGAAGAAAAATCCTTTGACCCTACGTACGAATCTTGATGTTACATGTTGTAATTTAATCAAGAACGATTTTAAATCAAGTACTGGTTTAATTGCTTTCTTCTTTTTTTCAAATATACCTTTTTCTTTGCCTGGATATTGATTGAATAAGTTTATTCTAAGAAAACTGTTGTAATTTAATCAAGAACGATTTTAAATCAAGTACTGGTTTAATTGCTTTCTTCTTTTTTTCAAATATACCTTTTTCTTTGCCTGGATATTGATTGAATAAGTTTATTCTAAGAAAACATTCATGAAATTTTTTTATTTGAGGAAATATATAGGATAAAATGTTATACTTCTCGTACTTTTTATAAAACTATAAACTTGTGACTATTGATTGGCAATGCTAACCAAAAAAATCCTGATGATGAATATTCAGAGCTAAAAATTTCTATCGATTGAATAATAAGTGTCAAAAATTAGATAATAATTTAACAAATGTATATGAACGTTAAAATAAAAATTTCAAAAATAAATTGCAGGTTTCAATGAAAATTAGGAAAAACAAAATTTTACGTTAATTTAATGAGGTAAATTATGAATTAACAAAAAACAACTAATTATTCAGGCAAGAATTATATCAATAGTCAATTAGTATTTAAAAAAAAATTTATCTGAAATAAAAAACAGAATACAGTTCACTCTCTCTATAACGGATCATTTGTCTGGGGAAAAAAGATCCGTTATAGAGAGAATCCGGTATAGAGAATTTTGTTGATCATCACATGATTAAGTTAACGAATAAAAAAAAATTTATTATTATTATTATTATGATTATAAAAAAATAATTATTCAATATTAATGTTCAAAAAACTATCTAATGTAGATTGTTTTTTTGAATTAAATTCTACTTTTTTGATTTTCTTTTTAATGGTTTTTAACAATTTCAATTCTTCATTTGTAAATTCCTTAAATTGCTGTTCAACAAATAAATTTACATTTTCAATGGCCAATAAAGCATCTTGACTTGAAACAAGAGGAATTTCTTCAATATTATCATCATCTTCTTCATCTTTTTCTTCATTAAGCTTTAGCATAGAAATTATTTCTTCATCATTTGGCAAACCCTCATAATTGTCATTGTCATTTCTTTCTACTTCATCAATGGAAAGATATTCTGTCCCAGATAAAGGATTTGCAAAATCAAGTTCATTAATTAAACTTTGTAAATCATTTTCATCATTATTTTTTGAAGAATCTAGGAATGATGTAGCATTTTGAATTTCAATAGAATTTTCATCCACATCAGGTAAAATTGCAGTCTTTTTCCAGCAATTAATTATTGTTTGACTGGTAACATTTTCCCATGCCTTTTTAGTATATTTAATTGCATGCTTTATTGTAATTGGATCAGGTTCTCCGCCTCTTTTTTGTATTTCATAATTTTTTAGTTTTTTTCTCAAAAAAAGTTTTTTATAATTTGCCTGTAAAATATGATATTGAAATTATGTTAAGAATTTTTTTAAAAAAGAAAATTAATATTAAAATTAATAATTTATTTACCTTGAAGCTATTGATTATACCAGCATTGCATGGTTGTAAAAATGCAGTAGTATTTGGAGGCAAAAAATGAATTTTAACATTTGTTAAATTTGTTGTCTCATTAACAGAATGTGTGGGAGCATTGTCTAATAATAACAAAATATTTCTATTTTGTTGTTGCATATATCTGTTTAAATTGACTAAATAATCATTAAAAATGGAGACTTGCATCCATGCTTTGAGATTCCAGTAATAATTTACTGACAATGCTTCTTTGTCAATATTTTTTAAAGCTTTAGGCGTTTTATATTTGTGTATAAATAATGGCTTCAATTTTTCTGTTCCACTAGCATTACATGTTAATAATACTGTAACTCTTTCCTTTGACTTCTTTCTTCCAGATACAGGTCCTGTTGATAATACTTTTGATGGTTCCAGTTTCCAAAATAACCCAGTCTCATCTGCATTAAAAATATCTGATAATTGATATTGATTTGTAATAGAATTCTTTAATTCTTCTCTATAAATAGGTAATTCCGAAATAGGAGTACTGGCAGCTTCACCTTGTTTTGTATACTGTTTGATATTATGTCTTTGCTTGAATTTTGTTAACCATCCTTCTGATGCTTTGAAGTCATTAATATCAAGAAGTTGGGCAAAGTGTATTGCTTTTTCTT